TTTTCTTCTTTTAAATATAGTCTCCTCCTTTACTGTGTTGATTCCCTTTATATATTTAAATGTTTCTATCATATCCCCCCTGTCTCGTCTTTCCTCCAAGCTATACATGTTAAGATCCTTTAACCTTTCCTGGTAAGTTTTATCCCGCAATCCATGAACCAGTTTAGTAGCCCTTCTCTGAACCCTCTCTAAGGTATCAATATCCTTCTGAAGATACGGTCTCCAGTACTGTGTACAATACTCCAAGTGAGGTCTCACCAGTGTTCTGTACAATGGCATGAGCACTTCCCTCTTTCTACTGCTAATACCTCTCCCTATACAACCAAGCATTCTGCTAGCATTTTCTGCTGCTCTATTACATTGTCTGCCTACCTTTAAGTCATCAGAAATAATCACCCCTAAATCCCTTTCCTCTTATGTTGAGGTTAGAACTCTATCAAATATTCTGTACTCTGCCCTTGGGTTTTTACGTCCAAGATGCATTATCTTGCACTTATCCACATTAAATGTCAGTTGCCACAATTCTGACCATTTTTCTAGTTTACCTAAATCATTTGTCATTTGGCTTATCCCTCCTGGAACATCAACCCTGTTACATATCTTAGTATCATCAGCAAAAAGACATACCTTACCATCAAGACCTTCTGCAATATCACTAATAAAAATATTAAAGAGAATGGGTCCAAGTACAGATCCCTGAGGTACCCCACTGGTGACAAGTCCAAGCTTCGAATATATTCCATTACCTACAACCCTCTGTTGCCTGTCACTCAGCCACTGCCTTACCCATTCAACAATATTTGAATCCAAACTTAACGATTGCAGTTTATTGATAAGCCTTCTATGTGCAACAGTGTCAATTAGATTGTATAACCGTTGGCCTCATTATCTCCAAGCTGGGCGGGTACTAATTCAAATGATACACTGTACTGTGATTGGAGAGAGGTGGCTAGTCCAGCATCTTTCAGGTCATGGACAATCCCTTGCATAACCAATGAACTCAGGAGACAGCATATCCCGTTCCCCGCAACAGTTAGGAAAGCGGAACTCTACAAGTTACTGCACACCTCTACCGATAACTTTGATGCCCGGGAAGGGACTAGCCAGTCTAACCCAGGAGACATACACGGCATGCTCTCATCCCTCATGGCATCCATGAGCAAGGTCAATTCCAGGCTGGAGAAACTAGAATCGGTCACCACAGCCCTTACCATGGCTGGGCCGGCCGCTGCGACCCCTCCAGCAATGGTCGAGTTGCAATCAGTTTCTCCAGCCACCACCTCTGACGATCAAGAGGTTAACCCTGCTCATATGTTACCTGAGCACTTTAAAAGAGATATCCTGGAAGGTAAAGATGTCAACTTGGTTTCATTGCTGATTGCCCCTCAGGATGTGGTGGAACATAAGACTTACGCTTATGATGATATTTCTGTGGTGGTCAAATCTAGGGATGCCCGATTAAACAGGAAACTGACCATCCTTGAATTTGTGTTGGCATTTATCGTGATGTTATCTGTGCAGTATATCCACACAGACGTGAGGAGTTTGATTTGTATATGCACAAGCTGGTGGACCTGGGCAACAAATATGGTGGGTCAGTTTTCTATGACTACCATAGATCTTTTTCTGCCAAGGTGTCTGGCGCTTTCTCCCAGTACGGGACCAGGTCCAACTGGAGCAAGATTGATACAGTCATTTTCTGCAGACACTTTGCAGGTCTAAGAACGCCGGCTTGTGCATACTGCTCCTCAATGGCTCATACGGCTAGTAGAGTTCGACCTGTTTAATTTTTTATAATAGATTTCTTATATTTTGTTATCTTTTATAATTATTTTGTGCATGAAGTATATACTTATATATTGTGACTTATATGTTCTATCTAAATATAATATGCAAGGTATTGGGAGTATAAAACCTCGTTTTTAATTTTAATTTTAAACTATCACATGTTTCCAATATAGGTATGTATTCACGGATACATATAAAGTTTAGCACTTTTGAAGAAAAAAAAAAATGGCCGCTGATCATGTGACTTTTCTATCTAAATGTGATATGCAAGGTATTGTGAGTATAAAACCTTGTTTTTAATTTTAAACTATCACATGTTTCCCATATAGGTATGTACTCACTTAGACATATAAAATTTAGCACTTTTGAAAAAACAAAAACGGAATTATGACGTCATTTTGGTGCCTTTTTTAATATGTTCACTGCCTTTATAAACCAGTATGTAACAGGATGTACTTTCTGATCTCCACTTGATAAAACCTAAGGGCGAAACGCGTTGTGGTTTTTAAACTATGTAGTTTTAAATTAACGTATTTTGGCCACTTTCTTACTGTGAGTTAGCCATCTTACTTTTTATTACTATTATCATTTTACTTTTTTACTACTACCATCCTTTTATCCGGCACCAGAAGTGTTTTTACTTTCCAGTGAGGATATTACTCCTGGGGTGCTGTTTGTAGGGGGGGTAGGTGTACTGTGTGTAGGGGGGGTAGGGGTTCTGTGGGTGTGGGGGGGTAGGTTTGCTGTGTGTAGTGGGGTTAGGGGTGCTGTGTGTAGGGGGGTAGGGGTGCCGTGGGTAGGGGTGCTGTGTGTGGGGGGAAGAGTTGAAGATGCATTACATTTAAAAAAAAAAAAAAAACAAACATATTAAATACTTATTAAATCAGTATCCCCCCTTCCCTTCTTCTTACCTTTGGTGAAGGGGGGGTGGGGAACACAGCCTTCCCTGGTGGTCCGGTGGTGGTAAGTATGCAGGACAGGATGACGGGTCCTGCAGCTCTCCTGTCCTCCCGCGCGATGCTATTTGGAGCGTTGCCATGGTAACACGTGGCAACACTCCACACAGCTCTAGGGAGGACAGGAGAGCTTCTTCCTCGATGCCTCCCCCCTGCTTCG